GTTGGAAAGGAACAAGAGGGAAAGCCAAGAGCCTGGTTAGGAGTCTTTACCAGTGGTCCAAGTAAAAGATAGCTAGAGTGATGATGGTAGAGATGGAGAAATATGGACAGATTCAATATATATTTTGGTTAATACATGTTTCTGAAAATATGTTAAACATGATGACATGATGGTATACATAATTTGGGGTGTATAAACATTAGGTTATAACTAGACCATCAAATTAGTGATTTACTGATTATGAATTGTTTGGATGAGACAAATTGATTAAAGTAGTAGACTTGGTGGTATGGAGACATGGCAAAGATCACAAAGCTAGTTAGGGATACACTGTTAATGGACATGATGGCAGGACAGCAGTGTTCTAGCTTGAACAAATGAGTAAATAGCAATGAAATAAAGAAGAGCTGAATCGGGGCTGGAGAAGTAAAGTTCAATTGTAGATAGTTTGTTTGAGAAGTCAGTGAAACGTCCACCTGGAGACTGTTACGTAAGCAGCAAAATACTGTGTAGCTCAGAGGGGATTCTGGGATGATGACAGTAGCTGCTATGTCCCTTCAATCCACGGCCATAGATAAGATTATTTAGGAAGAAATTAAAGAGAGAAAAAGGACCAGGACCAAGTGCTGAGAAACCTCCAAATTTAGAGGTCAAATGGAGGAAAAGTTTGAAAAGCAGACGGAGGACAATAAGCTTCTAAGGTAAGAGAAAAGTCAGAAAAAGGTGGAGTCATAAAGCCCAAGGAGAAGAGTCTTCCAAGGAGGAAATGGTCAAATATGTCCAATTGGCTGAGAGAGCTTATTCAAGAGGATGAAAGAAAAACAACCACTGGGTTAAAATATGTAACACCTTGGGGTGACACTGACAAAAGTTTTAAGGAAGGAGTGGAAGCCAGACCCAAGTAGGTTAAAGAATAAATGGAATGTGAAGAAGTAACTAATAATGAAGTCGTACCTGTAAGGTAGTCCCACTCTGAATTATTATGAATTATTATGAAATGAATTATTATGAATTATTATGAAAAATTAATGAGACTACCATTTATTTTTCTTTCTGGCATTCCTGAGTTTTCTTTTAAAATTTTTCTTTCCTCCTCCTTTCCTGACAATGTTTTGAACTTACTAGTTATAACCAGTGGTTCTTACAAGTCACAGATCATAGTGAAGAAGCCAACTGTCAACCAATCTATTTAAGAGCTTTTCAACCTGAGGAAACTGATTTAAGAACAAAACAAGATACCATGTATATATATGTGTGTGTATATATATGTGTGTGTATATATGTATGTATGTATATGAGACTATTGCAGAAGCTGCTAATCTCTATATAGAAATAGGCAAATGACATGTTTGACCAAAGGATTTAGTCTTCTCTCTTTAATTATTCAATTTCTTTTTCGTATCTTGTTCAAATTATCACTATTAAAGATTCTGGGAATTATTTTCGTAGGCAGAGCAGAGCAGGATGATGTGGAAGATAAAGAAATGTGATATCTGGATGGATGCTAGTCTTTGAATATCACTAGCTGGCTTGTAAGTATAATGGAGTAAGTTCATCTTGCCATCTGGCTAATGTAAAATGGAAAGCTGAGGTACTTGTCAATAAGAACTGTAGAACTGAATGAATTCAATAAGGTTTAGATCAGCAACACTTGATCATCAAACATTTCCAGTTTCTAAATACAGGTCCACTGTCAGTCAAGCTGTGAGTTCCAGAATTACTAACTTCAAAAAAACAGATCTGGGGCCAGGCATGGTGGCTCATGCCTGTAATCCCAGCATTTTGGGAGGCCAAGGTGGGTGGATCACCTGAAGTCAGGAGTTCAAGACCAGCCTGACCAACATGGTGAAACCCCATCTCTACTAAAAAATACAAAAAAAAAATTAGCCGGGCATGGTGGTGGACGCCCGTAATCCCAGCTACTTGGAAGCTGAGGCAGGAGAATTGCCTGAATCCAGGAGGCGGAGGTTGCAGTGAGCTGAGATCACGCCATTGCACTCCAGCCTGGGCGACAAAGCAAGACTCCGTCTCAAACAAAGAAACAAAAAACAGATCTGTAGGCCTCAACCATAGAGATTTTCATTATGCAGATGTGAGGTGAGATCCAGGAATCCGCATTTCTAAAAAAGCTCCCCAGGATTTCTGATATACAGTTAGACTGCAGCAGTTGATACTGAAGAGTCCCCAAACTTATAGGCAGTAATTTGTTGCTAAGGTAATAAGACAGAGGTATAGAATCATGAAATTTTAGCACCTGGAAGACTTTCCAGAGAATGACAAGTTGAAAGTTGCTTTTTTTTTTTTTTTTTAACAGGGTATCCCTGTGTCACCCAGGCTAAAATGCAGTGGCACAATCTTACTGTGCCTCAACCTCACTGCAGACTCAACCTCCAAGGCTCAATCAATCCTCCCACCTCAGCCTTCAAAGTAGCTGGGATTACAGGCGTGAGCCACCATGCCCAGCTAATTTTTAGTCTTTTTGGTAGAGATGGGGTTTTGCCATGTTGCCAAGGCTGGTCTCAAATTCCTGAGCTCGGACAATCTGCTCACCTTGGCCTCCCAGTGTTCTGGTATTACTGGTGTGAGCCACTATGCCTGATCAGAACTCCCTATTTTATTCAGTCAGGAAGGTTAAGAGTCCTGATTAGTTCACAGTCACACCAATCGTGGCTAGATCTTTTGCCTTCTAGCATTCCCATTACACCTGCTACTTTCTGTTCCTTAACTTATATTAGGTAATAGCTCTTTAAACAGATATATTTTAATTTACATAAAAGCATTAACTACTTTTTCTACTTTATTGCACCCTATAAAAGCGGATAGAGTTGGAACTCAGTGAATGCTTGCTGAAAGAAGGAAATGTGCATTCTTGTCTACAGGTGTTTTCACAGCTGCAGGGACATTTATGAAGCTTCCCCAGGTCTCAGTCATCAAAGAAGACGAAGACCATGGCTTTTATATTACATCATTTCTCATAGAGGGAATGGTTGATACATGACATGCGAAAGCAGGATCACTGTCTCAGGTAAAGGAACTACTAAAAGAACTATGAATATTTGGAGTCACTGAGTCAGGTTAAAGTTTCCAGGTAGTGGGAATCTATAAAAGAGAACTGAAAAGTTGCTTCAGGGACAAATGGAGGGAAAAAATAGTCAACCTTCCATTTAGAATGTGAGCTAACATCACAGCTGTTACTCTGATGGTAATTCCTGCCTACTATTTATACACTAAGAGTTAAGACAAAGTACAACATGACAAAATGTTCTAAACACAATGCAAAATAAAATAACCTAAAGGTCCAAAATTTAGTTCAATAGGTGAAATTAAAAATTTTCTTTCTAAAGTAGGAAAGATGTACAAAAACCACAAAAATGAAATAAAAGGAAGATATAAAGAATTTCTAAATGAGTAATTAAGAAAGTGCTAAACTAAGGCAAGACACTATGAAAAGGAAAAGAATTTCAAAGACTAAAACATAAAGGGTAAAAGTCTAGGAAGACTAGAGGGCTAACATATAAAAAGTCAAAAGCAAAAGAGACACACACACAACACCCAAATAGGTATCAGCTAAGATAAGTGCAAAAATTGAACAAAAACTAGAAAAACTGAGTAAAATTAGATTAAAAAGTTTCTAAAATGAGAAGAATCTGCCCAAGTGTCCATCAATAGAAGAATGGATAAACAAAATGTGGTTTATACACACAAAGGAGTATTATTCAACTATAAAAAGAAATGAAGTTATGATACATGCATACAACACATATGAACTTTGAAAGCATTATGCTAAGCCACTGAATTGCATACTTTAAAATGGATCAAGTGGAAAAATTTTGTTATACATATATTTTATCCAAAGAAAGGAGGAAGTCAAAACAGACTAAAAGAAGAATCAGTATGCGACAAAACCAGAAATTAAAATAAAAAAATAAAAAATATATTAAAATCATAAATATGTGAAATTATTGCAAGAACACCACCCCCAAATATCATTAAGGCATCTAAGGAACACAAGAAGTAAAAGGTAGGAGAGGGAAGTCAAAGCAGCAGCAGCACAATTAGATAATTTAATCTCAAGTAAGTAGGATGACCGTATAATTTACCATCCTAATCAGGACATATTTGAGAGGAAAGCGGACACTATTAATAATTACACAGGGACAACAGGTGTAGGCTGGAGCTGTCCCAGGCATAAGTGGACACGTGGTCACTCTCTATATAAGGGCAATCGGGTCCTCAAGGTTGAGTTCACGCCCACAGCTTGGGGTCTGGCAGAAGTACAACACTCCGACAGTGTCTTCCTGAAGGACTCAAGTGGTCAAAAACGCAAGACTGGTTTTCATTTTTTTACAGAGAAATAAAACACAATTCATGGCCTTTACCGAAGTGTACTGATTCGTGATTCATAAAACAATGGGCATATCATGAGATTTTATTAAGAGCTATAATTTAGTGTTCTTGAAATTTTAGAAGGCTGAATTATACTTTGAAATGCACTGGCAGGCATACTAAGGAAGTCCTGAGGTGAATCATTTTATATAAACCTACATTTTTATATATTACATTAGAGCCCTACAAATATATGTATACACTCTTTTTTTTTTTGAGACAGAGTCTCCCTGTCACCCAGGCTGGAGTGCTGTGGTGTGATCTCAGCTCAACGCAACCACTGCCTCCCTGGTTCAAGAGATTCTCCTGCCTCAGCCTCCCAACTAGCTGGGATTACAGGTGGGTGCCATGACGCCCGATTAATTTTTGTATTTTTAGTAGAGACAGGGTTTTACTATTTGGCCAGGTTGGTCTCGAACTCCTGACCTCAGGTGATCTGCCTGCCTTGATGGATATACTTACATTTGACTAGAGACAACTGAGACTTGAAAATTTGAAAAATCAAGTTAGAATTACTGAGAAAATTAGTAGCTCTGATGTTCTACCCATTCTTTATTTTTAAACTAAAATTAATCTTAATGACCTACAAATAGGTTAACTTAAACAGTCCATACCTTACATGAGAAGCTCCGACTTGGGATGTTTCTTGCTAACTCTGATATCTTGGGTTTATTCTGAAGACACTTGGTTAGGTGATATTTTTTCAATTTTATTCTATTGTAATAATGACCAGCGAAGTTATAGTGATTCAAATGCTGTTTCTGCATGCATTTTCCAAGGTGAGGAATACTATACTTCAAAGCTTGGAGAAATAATTTGGTCTTCTGCTGCATGATACCAAAGTCCCTGGTTTATGCTCCTTTTGGGGCTGCCAGCACACGAATGATTTTATAGGTATGATTACAGAGTAGTGGGTTCTCAGAGTATCTAAGATCAGCAGTTCTCATTGCTCCTTTTCAGGGCCATGCCCCGCTTAGGTTATGAGTAACTTCAGACAGCTGATAACTTAGGCTAACTAAATCTAAAAACGTGTGTAAGTTAAAGTTTCATTCAAATCATACTTCTTGGCAGATGTGACTTAAATGTCTCATTTGTAAAATTAATCCTATCAGGCTCAAACTATGCAGCACTGATTCTGGCACACATAGGGGCAAACTAAAACAAAAAACAAAACAAGAAACAAAATAAAAATTTGCAAATAAGTACACAGACTTAATGGGATATCTCAGGAACTCAGGGCTGTAAAAGGTAAAAAGCCTTTGGTCTTACATAATTATGAACATATCTTTGGTATGTATGTGGAAGATAAACTGGAAAAGCCTAATTATTTAATAAAGGTGGGGGAGGGAAGATTAATTATTGTTGAGTGTTAACTAAGTGCCAGGTGCTTTTATCTTGTCTAATTTAAATTTTATATGGACTTGATAAATTAGATACTACAATGCACATTTTACAAGTTGCCAAGCTGTGGCTGTGGGAGGTTCTAAGCAACTGTTCCAGGTCACTTGGACAGTAAGCTATATAGCAAAAATTCCAATTTGTTTTGGTTCCAAAAATTGGAAAACTCAACTATGGATTTTAACGTTAAAAAGGTATTTAGTGCTTTAATTAAAAACAACAAAAAAACCCTGCAAGATGCACAAATAAAATGTGAGGCCATCTCTGGTTTGTCAGGAGGTAGCTTTTATTAACCTTGAGAGCTAATAAGTAGTTAAGAGTCAGAGAGACCTGGGTTGAGGTCTTAGCTCCAACACTTAACTGTGTCTCTGGGCCTCAGTTTCCTTATCTGCAAAAATGAAATGACACCATTTACCTTCTAGGGTTGTTGCTGTAAAAACAAAATGAGGCAGTTTAATGTTAAGACCATACAGTGCCTGGCACGTAGTGACCACTCAATAAATGGCAGTTGCTGTGATTTACGTCAGGAATAATCTAGGTCTATTGCACACAGCTGAACGTCATTATGGACGTCTTCCACAAAATACCCCCTGGTATCAAAGGTAGAAGGCTGCGTCAAATTTACCATAGATCAGATGCGCTACGACGCCCCCGCCCCCTTTAATCCCTTTCCATGTCGCAGCAAAATAATGGGTGATTGGGGGTAGAGAAGCAACACTAGTTTACTAGCCGACACTAGTAAAAAAAAAAGGGGAAAAAAGACCCGAATAACAAGGGCCTGCAAAGGTCCTACATCACCACGTCCCCACAGCCTTTATCCATCCTTCATCCTCAAGGAGAAGACAGTATGCAAGGCTAGGATGGGGGTGGGGTAGATAAACGGGTGTTCTCGGGAGAACCTATTCGTTTTCCCCATGCAACTCTCCACCCCAGGGATGAGGCGATCTGAATGCAACAGGGAGAGGGACCAGGTGACACGCACGCAGTGCTGGGCCATGAGTCAAAAAGCGAGGACCTGGGGACTGAGGGGTGGGTGGCTGGGTGTGGGGAGGAAGGGGAGAAGGGAAGAGACCAGTACACTCCCCATACATACGCAAATTGAGAGAATCAGTCCGGCTCTGGACACAAACCAGTGAAGGCAGGCCGGAGAACCTGAAGCTCTCAGAGAGGAGCAGATGTCACCGCAGGCACGTCCAGCCGAAGTCTGCGTTCCGCAGCCCACAGAACGACAACCTACCCAGAGCCGCCTAGAGCTGGTTTGCAGCACGCCGAGCTACGTAACCTCAGTCTACCACGAGCAACAGGCAGATTTCGCCATCTTTGTTGTGGTCAAGGATTCTTCTGGCGTTCCTGGGTTCTTTAGTCTCAAAATATGTAAGACTCTCTGTTCTTTGCTAGTCTTCTGAGCTCGAGATGAAGCAGAGAAGACTAAGACAATGAGGAACAGCGTTCCAGTAACCCTGCCACATTTCTCTAACCCTCTGGTCCGCCCTCACTCAAGATGGCTACCAGCAAAATGGTGCAATGACGTGACAGCGCGGCCCTGGTTGCCAAGGAGATGCGAGTACCGGAAATGCGGAATTCGGGGAGGGCGCGCATGCCTGGGTCGTTGCGGGGGGGTGGGGGGCGGGCGTCACAGGTCCTGACAGGGAAGAAGTTGGCAGGTCCTGGCAGGGGACGAGCTGCGGTGGCGGCACCTCAGGGTATGGAAGGCTCCAGTGAGATGGAGTCGCGAGTCGCGGACGCTGGGGCCGGTGAGACTGCGAGAGCAGCGGGCGGCGGTCCGGCAGTTGGCTGCACCACTCGGGGGCCCGTAGTCTCGGCGCCCCTGGGAGCCGCCCGGTGGAAGCTCCTGCGGCAGGTAGGGGAGAACCTGCTCGCCTCACCTTTGCCTCTGGTCACTCCCCTCTCACGTACCGGGGGAGCGACCGTTCGCAGCTCTTTCCTCTTGGCAGTTCTGGGAGTCCCTTCTCAGTTTGCCAGGAGCCACCTGCGAAGCTCCCCCTCGCTTCACCTAAGTGTCCCATCCAAGAGCAGGAATAGGTGGGGTTGGATGAGGAGGAAGACAGCCAAGGCTGAGCTCCTGGGAAACTCAGATCGAAGTAGAGGAACCCCTTCTATACATTTTTGTGCGTCTGGGGGACTTTTCCCCTTCTCGCCAGTCTCTGGTGCGCCCGCCGCTCCCCACTGCTCTTTTCCTGCTTCTGTTTTGCTTCCTTCCCCAGGTTTCTTCTAGCTTAACTCCCAGCCTGGTTCTAGTTACTGATGTTCTTCTGCACCCTCTGGCCCCGTCTTTTGCCCAGCGTGGTTGACTGTGCCGGGACTGAGACGCGGCACGCGTTCCCTTGGCATCTTCCGTACAGCGGAGCGTGCAAGGAGTAGGAAGAGCTGACCTCCTCTCCCACCGAGGTCTCAAAGTTCAATGATTATCTTGTAGTTTGAAGTGATCAGCGAGATTCTCCGTGTCCAAAGTGGTTTAGTCAAAGTGTGTTCGTTTGTTGAATGATGGTATCTTCTGGTACTTCGAAGTTTCTGCTGTTACTTAGAACTTCTCTCGTGCAAGCTTGACGGAAGTTCTGATTTATGATCACTCACATTCTTCGCTCACTTCTTGAAGTTAATTTAAGTCTGGTTATTGTTTTTACATACCAGTGTTATGCCTCTGCCTGAAGTTTTCTGCCTAAAGCTTTACTCAGGAGGACATTTTTCCATTTCTGACAGTTGTGTTTGGAAGAGTTTCCCAGCTATTGCCACTTTACTTGAGATTGTGCTTTTAGTATTTTGAGGGTCACTTTGTTTGCAGTTGCCTTGAGTCACCTTTTCATACAGTGGTCTTTTAGTGCTTTTGGAGTTATGAGTTAAGTAGATCATCAGAGTTAATTAAAATTTGTTTGCTGATGCATTGACAGTCTTTCCAGACCAGTAATGATCTGGTTTTGCTATTGTTACAAATGGTATTACAGGATAAGAAAATGCATGTCCTCACAGATCATCATAGGAAGTACCTATAATAAAGTAAACATCTGATTTTTTTTTTGTTTTTAATAGTGACCACTGAAATGAGATCTTGGACTCAACCCTCCTCCTCGCACCCCCCCGCTTTTTTTTTTGAGATGGAGTTTCGCTCTTGTTGCACAGGCTGGAGTGCAATGGCTGCCATCTCGGCTCATTGCAACCTCCGCCTCCCGGGTTCAAATTATTCTCCTTCTTCAGTCTCCCTAGCAGCTGGGATTACAGGCATGCACCACCACACATGGCTTTTTTTTTTTTTTTTTTAAAGTAGAGACGGGGTTTCTCCATGTTGGTCAGGCTGGTCTCGAACTCCCGACCTTAGGTGATCCACCCACCTCGGCTTCCCAAAGTGCTGGGATTATAGGCGTGAGCCACAGTGCCCGGCCCCCTCCCGTTTTTTTTGTTTTGTTTTGTTTTGTTTTTGATATAGAGTCTTACTATGTCATCCGGGCGGGAGTGCAGTGGTGCAATGTTAACTCACTGCAGCCTCTGCCTCCCTGGTTCAAGCAATTCTCCCTTACTCAGCCTCCCGAGTAACTGGGATTACAGGCGCTCACCATCACACCCGGCTAATTTTTGTATTTTTAGTAGAGACGGAGTTTCGCCATTTTGGCCAGGCTGGTCTCGAACTCTTGACTTCAGGTGATTCACCTGCCTTGCCTCCCAAAGTGCTGGGATTACAGGCCTGAGCCACTGTGCCTGCTGCGCCCACCACCCCCCCCCCGACTTCTTTTTTTTTTTTTTTTTTTTTTTTTTTTTT